AAAGAAGATATTGGATAACCATTTGTCTGAAGTGGTGTAGGGTTTCCTGCCTAAGCAGAGGGTTGGACTAGAAGACCTCTAAGGTCCCTTCCAACTCTGTTATTCTATTCTATTCTATTCTATTCTATTCTATTCTATTCTATTCTATTCTATTCTATTGTATTCTATTCTATTCTACTCTATTCTAGTCTAGTCTAGTCTAGTCTAGTCTAGTCTGCTGTCTTCAGGTACTACCATGTCCACTTTCCAGACTACTTTTTCTTTCCTTTCTTATTGACAATTGTTAAATCTGACATGTGCCTGTCTATTTGAATTTTAAAGTCCCAGAGGACATTACCTTCTCCATTTCCTATTACTTTTTCTATTTTATGGTCCCACCAGTTCTTGAATATAATTTATGATGATTATATTTTCTTTTTATTGGTTTTATAGTTTTCTGATATGGTGAGACAACTAATCAATATTTGTACCATACTAAGGGTGTTGTACCATAATAAAGATGGACAATGTTGCTCAGAGGAAAATTGTTTGTTGTGATTATCTTCTTTTCCTAATTTATTGCTCTAATCTTTAAAATTGATTGGAACTGGAAATTCTGCTTCTATCCATTTTTGCAGTACGCTTTTAGGAATTGCAGACAAGTACAACAAGTACCCAACATTTGGGTCCCTGAACAATTTAAAATATGTCTTTCCTTTCAGTACTGAAATATTGCACCAGCCCTACTATAATTCTTACTTAATTAGAACTATTGGCTAATTGCCAGGTAACTGAGTTAAAAAATACTTTTTTAAACTGTACAACTCACATCATATGTTTGTTCTTTTGATAACACATCTTTGTACATCTTACTAAATTTTAACATGAACAGAGATGAATAATTCATTCTTCCTGCTTAGAGGAAATTTAAGATGAAAAAAATGTAATAAAGATATATGATAAATCTAGACCTTTCTAATGACAATCTCCCAGACTTCACTGAATCATTACAATACCTGGATTTTATTATGCATACGGTTTGATATCGTCTAGGTTAATTTTTGTTGTCATTAAAAGTTCAGATATCTACTATAAGAGGAAATATTTCATTTTTTTTCTATCCTAAATCTCCTACTATTCAGATTTACTAGGTGCCTTCTTACTGTCAATTTTGTAAGCAAACAGCTCCAAGGAGAGATGTTATGTTTCTTTTTTCATTTTTGTCATTTTTTGCACTTTTTCAGCTCTGTTATTTTCTTTAGTTGTAGTGGCTAGGAATACACACTCCTTTACAAATAGAATTACACCATATATTTGTATAAAGTCATTACAGATTTTGCAGTTTAATTTTCAGTTCTTTTCACAATAATAATCAGCACAGAATGTGCCACTGTGATGGGATCACAATCTGAGAGGCAGTATGATATATTGAATAATGTTCTTCATGATCCACATACAATAGATTGTTTTCTTTTGTATCAAAAGGAAAGTAAAGGAAATAGTCTGCAAATGAATTATTTTTGGAAGGTGGGTGTGCTAATACTCCTTGTTTGTGTTAGAGTAGAATCAAGTTGATTATCTGGCTAGAGTATAGGATGTTGAATTGATTGGGAGTTAGGCTGACAAGTTATGCTTTCTGGCAAGGATGAAAACAAAGAGTTCTGATCAGGATGCAAAATGTAGAATGGAGATATATTATAAAAAAATCAATATGCAAGCTGGTGTCTGAATAGTTCCTTTTGTTGTTGTTGTTGTTAGCCACAAAGTTGTGTCCAACCCATCGCGACCCCGTGGACAGTGTTCCTTCAGGCCTTCCTATCCTCTACCATCCCCTGGAGTCTATTTAATCTCACGCAGACTGCTTCAGTGACTCCATCCAGTCACCTCATTCTCTGTCATCCCCTTCTTCTTTTGCCCTCAATTGTTCCCAGCATTAGGCTCTTCTCCAGTGAGTCCTTCCTTTTCAGAATAGTTCCTATGCCAACATTATTGCATATAGCATACACACTGAGCACCAGTTGGAGTGGGGAGGTTCATATACATGCCTGCTCACAAGAACAACTTCATGGGACTAATAATCTAGCATCATACCCATGTCATTTGCATTCTCCCAGTGAGAGGTATGGAAGATCTAAGTCTAAATTCCTTTTCTTTTCCCTTGATGGCAAATCCTTTTTTGAAAAAAAAAATGCCTACAATTTAGCAATTTCCTTCTTGCTGTTTGTGTTTTGGGGGTTTATTTTATTGCTGATTTAATTGGTGCTGGTTGCCTTGGATAATGTTACTGTATAGATTTTTTTGTCATGCACTACTTTGTTAACTAAATTGTATCTAAATGTTTGAAAATTAATGTTTATATTTCAGAATACCTATCACAAAAGCTGATCACACCTAAAATTTTAGTTATTTAAAAGCAATGTCTTAATGTGCTACATTTATGAACTGTTTCCAATGTTTTTGGACAAAATGTATGTAAAATTATATACAAGCATACACAATCATTACAATCAACAATTAAAAAAACATCATTGTATTCTTACAGTTAATACAATCCACCATAAAACAGCAATTGTGTAGAGCTACAGCACTAATATAAATAAAAAATATTTTTCAGTTATATTAGGCTGATTAAACTATTAGAAATATTATTAAAATTAAACTTTAAATATTTAAATTGTGTTAGTGATTCTCATTTATTCTTTTTCTTGAATATCCATGTTTTCTTTTTCTTAAAAGTTCATGTAAACTATGCTTTTGGTCAAAAAGAGGGGATAATTAAACATATGCAAGATAGATTTGGAAAGTATATTATCACAGTAAGTTATTCCAAAGCTGCTTTGCAATAATGCTAAGTATATATAGATTTTGATGATGGTTACCAAAAGCCCAAACTTAACTAACACACAAAAGTGTGCATCACCCTGAAGTAAACAACATATCAGCTCAGTTCCTTGTGAACAGTGAACTGTCTCAAATCCATGTTATAGAGGTTGGATCAATCTTGCAAACACAACTCAGTATTGAAAAGAGGCCTTCAACTGAAGCAGCCTGGAAAATATATTAGATGTCCATTCTAGCAGAGAGCATTCCCAACAAACTCTATAATATAATCTGGCAAGATATTTAGTGTAATTGCTAAAACTAGCCTTATAGACACAAAATCTATCTGAGAAATAACAAAAAAGCAATAGGAGGAAAATAATACTAGTTAACAAAACATTTTGTCATGTTTGTTATCTAATAATATTTTGGCAGTGATAGGGGATAAAAGGCAGCATATATTCATACTTACAATGTAGTGGAGACCAGTCTTTTACTGTAATAATTTTTCATTTTGAAAACAAATAAAATGAAAATGTTTATTTCATTTGAAGAATCTCTTCTATCTTATATATATTCAGAATATATCAGGATGGAACAAGTTAATTAATTCTAAAGCCTCTGTCTCAAATCTCAATATTATCAATTGAATTCAGTTCCTTTCACTGTAAACCAGTATTGCCAATGGCAAAGGATGAGAGCTGTAGTCCGAATTATTTAAGAGAAACCCTGCATGTGTCCATCTTGTATCTTGCACTCCTTTACAAGCACAATACTACCTCCAATGCCTAGTCTGGTATTGCCAACTGAATTTGGATTTTAATAGTTTGTGCAAAGTTTGTAATAATTCCATTTACTGCATTTTTATTGCACAATATTATCATTTTTAAGCTCCTAGTTGCACACTGGTTAATGCTCCATGGTTTTCTTCCTTCATCAGGATCCAGATACACAGTAGAATCTGAATACAAGAGGAGTTTATTTATCATTGATACATCAGTGTCCTCTTTGTCATATGTTTCAAGGTTAAGCACAACCTGGCCTAAGTTTGTCTACAGTTTACCTTTGGTAATCATTTCTAAAACCTTATAGTATAAAGTAGACTGAAATGTCTGCCTGCCTACCTATCTTTCTTGACAGTTATAACAGTCCATATGAAATTCAATTTAAGCATCACTGAAAACATTTGTCTTTACTTTGTACCAGGGGTGAAATGCTCCCGGTTTGGACCAGCTCAGGTGAGTAGGTAGCGATGGCGGCGGGCAGTTCGGAGAACCGGTAGCAAAAATCCCTTTCCCCCCAGCCTCCAGCTTGCTTACCTTCATACGCCTGCCTTGCTTCGCTTGCTGTAATCCCTGCAATCCATTGCATCAGCAAGCAACTGAATCTCTCTGCCTGCAATCAAGCTCATTGGTGAGCAGCTCTATCTGCCTGCCTGCTTGCCTGCCTGTAAGTTTTTTCCCCCCTTTGGGAGCTTTAAAAAAAATAGTTAATTGGGGTTTTTTTAGTTGTTCTTTTTTTAGACCTAGCCATTTAAAGTTTAGGAAGTTTTAAATTTAGCTGCTTTTATATAAAAATAAAAATAAAATAAAATAATATTTGTGCAGTTTTCTGAGATTTTGTGTGTTTCTGTAGTGTTTCACTCTAACTACACAAACACACAAAATCTCACAAAGCTGTATGTGGAATTTTGTGTGTGTAAAGTGTGAAAGTTGGTTTTTTGGACTTTTTGTGGCTATGTGAGGTTCCTGCTTGTTGCAGGGACCATTTTGCCCCTGCTTTTACATTGTGGGTGAGCCAGTTGTGTTGTGTTGTGTTGTGTGTGTGTAAAGTGTGAAAGTTGGTTTTTTTGGGCTTTTTGTGGCTGTGTGAGGTTCTTGCTTGTTGCAGGGGCCATTTTGGGTCTAGCACAGCTGCTTTTACATTGTGGGTGAGCCAGTTGTGTTGTGTTGTGTTGTGTAGGTTAAAAAGGGGCAAAGAAGTGACGTCGACTTGGCCATGCCCACCTGACCAACAAGCCACGCCCACCCAGTCACCTGACCAACAAGCCATGCCCAATAATTAAGCCACACCCACAGAACCGGTAGCGAAAATTTTTAGATTTCACCCCTGCTTTATACTAAATCCCTATCTTTTTATTAACATCTATTTCTCCAATTATGATACAATTATGATACTTGCAAAATCATGAAAGGCTGTACCTTAAAATCGAAGTTTGAGAGTTTTTCAAGTCTTTTGTTTATATCCAGAGAATTTGGGTTTTTTGAGAGTTGAATGAAACAGAGTTTGCTTTGTTCCCAAAATGAAAAGATCATAAAAGTATCAGTAAGCACAGCTGGAAGAAAAAACAACAACATTTTAATACTTATCACTGACAACAAAATAAATTGCTGAAATCTCCACTGGAATATTGGAAAATAAAAACACATTTTCAGCACTATGCATGACTTCTATGATGTACTGATATAAGTGTTTCTCCTACTGTGTCTTTTTGAAAATGGTAAGTAAAGCCTTGGAAGCAGATGTAATAAAATGGAACAAATTATGATATATTTTAAAGATACGGTATTTTACAATATCTCTTCTATTGGTTCTTTTCTTTTAAAGTTCTTTCAGATAGTAATCTCTTCTGCAGTGGTTGACACTGGATGAATGAAAATATTGGGGGTACGCTGGAGTGAAGCATAAATATTAAAAAAGTACCAAATGAAAGGGCAGTCATTACTGTGGCTTAACTGATTTCTTGCAGTTGTTATACCTTAAGAAAGAGAAATGGGTGATAATGTTTGTTTGGTGCAAGCATTTTTTTTATTCTGAAATGAAAACTTACATGAAAATGAATGAAACCAATTAGCTCTGCAGGCATCTGAATAAAACTACCAATACACTGTTTTTTGCTGGGGAGGGGGTGGGGCGGGATGTGATGACACTGTAATGAGTATCTGCTACTCCTGCATTATGGCTTATAAAAATACAATAAAGACATTTACTATAAGAAAAAAGTAATAAAAGGGCAAAATAATTAAAAAATTACATCAAAGATCCCATAAAACCAGAGCCCAAAATAACTCTCCCCAAGCAAATTAACATTTAAAAATAAAAGCTCTGCTTTCTTAATTTGTGTTAATCTTTTAGTAACTTTTAGCTATCTTTTCACACAATTAGCTAGCAATATTATGTTTTCTACTATATTAGGAGGAGGGGTAAAAACTAATAACAGATTTCAGATAGATAACCTTTTGGAATGCCTCAAAAGTGAATTATTTATTTATTTATTTAACATGTGGCACATCAAGAAAGGATATGAGAAACTATAATAATAGAATCTTGCAGGAGTTTCTGTTCTACCTTTCTGTCTCTTATACCTTACTGAGTCAGGGAGGAGTCAGTTCGAGCCTATTCTTAACATTATCTTCCTTTCCAGAACTTAAGGAATGCTTGTGTCCTTGTTTCTGAAAGGAACTTCAAGATCATCTCCATGGCTCTCTATACCAACTCAACATGTTTATCAGCTTCTACATGGCTCCTCTGGCTGTCAGACTGCTGAGGTGGCTTGACTATTAGTTAGAAGAGATCTAATCTGCTGATTTCAGAAACCCACCATTCAACTTCCAATTGAATTCCAACATCCTTCACAATGTATCATTCATTTGCTCCTCCTCCTTCAAATATTTTAAATATCCCTCTCTATCGTGATTAAGATGGTCTAATACAGCAACTATCTTATTTCCTTGAGCCAGCTTCTTTGTATCCATGACTGATAAAGAAGTGATTAAAAAAATGGTCCACAGATTTTTTTGATGGCTGCAGAATTATAATTACATTCCAAACTCCAGATATCCCTTAAATACTACTTCCACATCTAATCAAATTGTGTGCATATAATTTACCTCTCAAGCCCCTTTTGCCTATAGAAAGCACAAGAGCAATGCCATCATAATTAACAAAGAAGTAAAACTATGTATAATTCTAAGCTGATGAAGCAGTTTTAAGAAGAGACAGCCAAATGTCATTAGGTCTGGCATTGACAAATACCCTTTTCAGAGGAAATTTTAGTTATGAACTCTTACCTTTTGGCTAAAAGTTCTAACTGTTCCTAGCCAAAAGTTAATTGATTTGAAACAAGCCTTGTCACTATTATACTATGATGTAGCATTAAACCTGTTTCAATATCCAGTTCCCAAGCTTGGAACCCTGAGAAGCCAATCCAACAATCCTAACTTGCAAACATCAGAACATCTGCAGCTCACTAAAGATAAATTTCATCCTGATTCCTCTCTTTAGCCTCACACTCCAACTACTATCAAAGTAACTGATATCATGGTGAATTGAAATATGAAAGGATTCCACTTTAAAGCAGTCCTTAAAGGAGTGCAAAAGCAATGAAAGCACTACTATGTTGACAATGTTGATTCTCCACCAAACTGAGTTATATCCCAAGCCTCTAAGAATAAATTCACTCCTTAGAAACATGCCCTAAAACCCTAATCTGAGCTTTAGAATCCATGAGGTCAATCCAGTCCCAAGAGATTTAGCTTCATCTGCTTCTATCACAAGGACCCATTTTGAGACAATCTTGAAGGTAATTCTTGCTGAGTGACTTTGGGTTACTCCAGAAGATGTGTGATTCAGTTCATGGAATATAATAGGCTGATCTTCTAAGAAAACCCATACTTTTACTGCTTATTAAAGAATTTTAACACTGCTTTTTTGCTGTTTATAACTGTTCCCTTGACTGGTCTACTGTATATCACACACATTCCTTGTACAATTGGAAAATGGTAACTTTGCTGAGCTGGGTGAGCAAGCTCTTGTAGAACTTCCGACTGGGTTCTCTGCTGCTGGTCTGCCTATTTGATCTTATTGATAATTCTTTTTACATATCTCAACAGTGGCGTTAATCATAACAATTTCAATAAAAAGAAAGAAATACAGCAGAGCTAACATTTGACCAGTCAGCTTATTAAACATTATAAATGAATTCTATGGCCTTAATGAGAAACTCACTGAGTGATACAAGGGGAGGTGCTAGCTGAAAGGCAAGTTGGCTTTAGGGCTGGGTAATCAACATTAGATCAATGCATCATTTTACATAATCTGGCAGAGAAATACACTAATTTACTGCAATGAATTCTCTGTGCTATGTTCACTGACCTGAAGGCAGCTTTTAACTTGGTCTCCAGGAAGAGGCTATGGCAAAAACTAGCAGTCACATTCAGAGGTTTCTGACTACTCCAGCACACCAGGGTCCCGCATGGGAATATCTACATGCAAATTCAATGTGCTACCGTAGGTGGTTTCTCTGCAGTAATCCTCACTTTAAACAGAATCAAATATTCTAAAGGGAATCAAACAGTATCCTTATTCTCCTATTTAATTTTCACACCAATTCCACAGTTTTGGCATTTTCTAAAAGTAAATTTCAACCTCCTATATTAACTGATATCCATCATTTTTTATTGATGCTACTGTCCTTTCCCATATTCTGTGGTTTAGCAACATATTGCCATAATGAAAAAGTAGAAATTATTTAAAAAACAAAAACAGTTTTCTTTAATAAATGGCATGCTGACCATAACCAGGAAATCAATGGCATTCCAATTGAAATTCAGTTTTTTAGACTTTACTTCATCTAATACTGCTTGGAAGCAACAAAACCTGTGAAACTGTATCTTGTGCTCTAAAATTTTCCAATACAGTAATTAACTTCCTAGTTTTTATGTTAATAATTTCATTTCTGTAAGATGTCAAATTAAAAGATGCTGAGCTTCCTGCTGTATGAAGTACAACTTCATACAATATGTAGAAGGATGCCAACATTTAGCATTTGTCACTACTATAACTCCTGATACTCTATTATCCTAATTCCTTATTTCATTTTATTATTGTATTATTTTATTTTCCATTTAGGCTCTTTCATTGCAAATTAATTAGCTAAGTAAATCTCAGTATACTAGAAGCATTACAACCAATGTTTTTATTTCAAATATGAAATTGTTTAAACAGCAATATCTTAGGCCAAGCCTCTATGGTAGTGGTTTAGAGTTTATTGTATATTAATGTTGATGTTTATCACAGTTGCCTTTATAGGTTTTTTACTCTGTCTTGAGGTTATTTTGGATTATGTTTTTATATATTATAGCTAAGTAAAACAATAAATCTTTAATACCATTTTTTAGCATTGTGGTATTCAAACTGAATGTTTAGACCGCCAGTAATAATAAAAATTATTCACTTAAATGCAGACCTTTGTTAATAAAAGCTGCCTAGACTTACAATAATGTGAAGTATAGACAACTATAAGTTAAAAATATCATTTTAAAAATATCATTTCTGTGAATCCTAAATTTATTAGATTATTATATCTTCTCAGGTGCTGTAACTTACTGAATAAATATATTTAAATCCTTTCAAATCTGTAGAACTGAAATAATAGTTTGCTTCCTCCTATAAGACTATTGTTTCTTTAATTAAGGATTAATTAAAATTAAATTCTTTAATTTTTTTTCATTTTATGTAATTATGTGAATTCTTCCTCTCTAGCAGGTTCCTTTTTTCATACAAAAATATTGCAAATGACTTCAGGTGGAATAAAGGATACATGGTAGGATAGAAAAGATGGGCAAGGAATCCTCTTCTTTGTAGCATTTGTCTATTCAAAATGCCCTCCACACCTGCATTTCTCTCACAAACAATAGATATGGTGACCTTTCTTGTAACTGCCATGGGAAAAAGAACAGTTGAGGAGAGGGGGAAACCATATTCTTAATCTTAAAACACCTGTTATATGATTAAAAGTCCTTAGACCAGAGGGAGAATGCCTATAGAACTATCTGCACCATGTAGTTTCGCCTTCGATGTGATTATTGAAAATGGTGAATGGATTTAGAAATTAGTTTGAACAGAGATCTCATATGTAAATTAACAGTGTCTGAGTCTTTTAACTGCTATTTTATTTTATTTGGATATACATAAGCAATTGATTAATAAAATATATATCATTTTCTTCTATCTATGAGTAATAGCTTGTTATTCAATCATTAGTGATTTCTCATTTCTCTTAGTTTCTCCAGTATCTCTGCATTATATAATACCAAACTGAATTTATCTGAATCAACTCAATTCAATCCCTTACCATTTACTTTCACTGGGATATAACAGTAAAATATTCACCTCAATAAACGGAGAATGCAGACTACCTTTTCCACAGTAAAACATTTATAGAGTCATATTGGAGAGAAAGCTTGTCAGAATTAAACGCTTGGAATTAATTAATCCAACACTTCTGTAAATTTTAAATGATCAAATTAGTATTTTAGCATATATTCCTGTGCT